GGCAACAGGCTGCTGATGCCATCACTCTCAGAGCCACCTCCCATGAGCCAGGCTGGGCCAGGCTGGGTACCTGTGGAAGGTGAGCAGCCTGCGGGCCAGCAGCCGCTCCAGTGCCAGCACCTTCCCCAAGAGCAGGCTCTGCACCGCCGTCTCCTCGCGACTGGCGGGGCTGATGCGCTGAGCCGTCAGGCGCCAGACGTAGATCTCGTGCTTCAGTTCTGCAGGAAAGGAAAGCCCAGGCTTGAGTGTCCCATCACCTCAGCTTCCATTGTGATGGAGACAAAACTGACTTTAAATTGCCATGTGTGCAAATTCAACTCTTTTGGTGAAGAACAAAATCCCCTCCTGAGCAGACATAGCAAAGCTAGTCCCCAACATCTTCCCTCTTCCCCTCCCAGGAAATTTCTTCTCACAGCCAGTAATTCAGGTTCTGCTGTTGCCCAAAATCCAGATGCTGCTCAATCTTTGGGCAATTTCAGAAGCAGATCTAATTTCTGTACCAGAACATTGGAAATACAAGTAGGTGATGCCCTGGGCGCCCCAGTGGAACATTTAGTAAGAACAGGAGGTGGGGAAAGCCTCCCAACCAGGGCCCCAAGTTGAGCTCTCATCTAGGAGGGACAGATGAGAGAGACACACACAACCTTACAAAATGCTTCAGTTAACAGAATGAGGCAAACATTTGACCATAAATGAATTCAGACACCTTCTGGTACAGAAGAGGAAAATGGTCCCTAAAGTGCTAAAATATTTCATGAAAGTTTACATTTAGCCTCTATTTTACCATTAAAGATACTACATAAGTGTCTTAAAATACCCATTTAAGAATATAAGAAAGGATGGAGTTATCATACCACATACCACAATTAATTCAAGACGAAGTTAAAAGACCAAACCCATCAGTTAGCATGGGGTGGGGGGAAGGAAGGGAAAATGACAACTACCCAAAGACCTATGAGGTAGCAACCGCAGGCTGGCCAGCCCCCCTCTTCAGTACTCAAATGCTGACCACGTATTATGTGACAGAGCTACAACAAACACAGAAAACAAAGGTGAGCTCTGTAGAGACACAGTAAATATGCCAGATCCCCAGCGATGTATATAGAAATGGGATTTGGTTATTTTATTAAAAATAAAAGCAATCAACATCATATACAACACAAGATGAGAGGACGAGCATAGATGAGAGAGGTAATCCCACAACTGATGAGCTCGGTGAGAGTCCCTTGTCTTCTGAAATCAGAGGGTGATACACACCTTCCTCCACTTGTCATGCAGATGCGCTGTTACCCAAGCAACCTGAACAGTGTCCACGTGCTGGGCCTGCTGAGGAGAGGCGGCTGTCTCCCAAGTAACCTATTGCTTCTAATCCAGCCTAACCAATAATGGTCTCTAAAACTGAACCTCTAGAAAGATCTACTAAAAATTTTAAGGAAAATGCAAAGTCCTAAGATAGTCATGAGCCCTTTCCTGTTCCTGCTGCCTCACCAATATTCTCTTGACTGACATGGCACATTATTCCCCATGCTGGATGACACTGCCATTTTTGTGACCACATTTACTCTCAAACTACAGCATCTAAGAATACTACAGTGCATTTATCGAGCTATCTATATTGTCTACACCCATTTAATGATGCTGTGACACATGAACCGTGTACAGTGTATGTGGCTTCCACACATCAGCACCTTTCACTGTACAGGAAACTAACGGGGCCCAGATCATGCATTTGAACCCCCTCAAAACACACTGCGTACATACTACACAGTGGTATATGCAGCATCCCACCAACTTACCCTTCCCTGATGTTCTACGTGTGATAAACCTCTTGCCTTTTTGTGACAATGTCCCATGGGGAAAAAGTTATATCATGGTAATAAAATCTGAGGCTCTCCAAGGTGGTGGGTGCTCCTACTCACCAACAATCTCACTGGGTTCCTTGTTGTAAAGCTTTTTGTTCCAGTAAAGGAGTCTGAGGAGCGGAAAAGAGAACAGGAGTACAAGGCAAATCCCCACGAACATGTGTGCCGTGAATCCTGCGAAGTCCAGGCCCTGGAAACAGGACAGGGGAGTGAGTGGACACACGGGTGCTGTCCCTTTGTCAGGGATGGGGGTGTTAGTTCCAGGGTGTGGAGCTCAGCACAACACTCAGAGAAGAACAGGTCCTCTTCACCACAATTATGAAAGTGTTAAAAGCTTGTTTCTTTCATGTTGAAAAACCAATTCTTGCCTATATGTAAAGTAACCTTAGGAGGAAACAAAATAGGCCATCACAGCTAATCCCTCACCACTCACTGACGTGCTCCTCAGGATGAAAAAAGACTGAGGGGAATAAAACATAAAACTATGGGGCAGTAGTCACTCATTTCAAGGTAAATGGGTTTTTTTAAATATCTTATTTCAGTCCCTGCCATGGATTTGAAAGAGTCTCTTCATAGCTGGCGAGCATAGCCCTCCAGAGGGGCCTGCTCCCTACCAGGACTAAGGCAGCCCAGAGCATCCCTGCTAGTCCAAGTCCCAAGTGGGAGCCTTGACATCCCCCTCAAAATTTCCTTGTCCATGGGGATAATTGGCAGAGTCAGCTTCTGAGGACATCTTTGTTTCTGGAGAAAAAAAAAAAAATCCCTTCTAGGTTAGTCCCTCTTTCACTTACTCTATGCTTGTATCTTCAGGATATATGTGCCAGCACCTGCCCAACCCCTTACACAGAGCTTCCAGCACAACTGATGAGGCCTTTCTTCAAGGAACTGACGGTGAGAACCAGCTTGTTACTGGTGAGGATACCAGGCCTTTTCAGTAGTGTCCATGGAACCAGTGCCACAAAGGGGATTGGAATTCCAATAACAGGGATGCGAGGACCCCAGGGCAGGAAGGCTTATAGGGTGAGGCTTGCCAGTGTATAATAATCTAGTATCCTTAATCTCTTGCAGTTATCTGCACATGCAGTGATTGCCCTCGGAAATAGCATTATGGGCAACATAGATGAGCTCAATCATATGTAGGTAACAGGGAACCCAACAGAGAAGTGGGACTCTGGAATGTTTTTAATGGCTGTATGGGAATTCATCACTTTTCTGGAATGTCTTCAAGGAGGATATTACAACTTGGTCACTGTGTTTGTCTATAGGACTCATGTTCCAAATATCTGGCTAAAAAGGGTCCATGATACTTTTAATTTCTACTAAAGTCAGAAACAAAACAGAATTTTGAGTCAAAGAAAATAATTTAAAATACAATGATAATTCATTTGACTTACAATAACTCAGTCATGAACTATTATTCATGTTTTTGGAAGATCTAGAAAGGCAGAGATGCATTCTGGGACCCTCTGAACATAATATAAAGTTGTCCCACTAGAGATGATGGCACAATTGAAGAGAAAAGTGAGTAGTCTAAAGAAAGAGAACAAAGATGCAGAGAATACCTCCACAGCAAAATAACAGTGTTGAGTGCAAGTATCTGGTTGTTACTAGAGTTCTAATGGGTGGATTTATAAGGTAAGAACAATGCAGGAATGAAAAATCCAAACTAATAATTTTAAGAAACAATACAGGCAGATGCAATATACAGTGGAATGCAAATGTTTTCACTAAGCTTATTAGGCACGCATATCTGGACCGCCCTGCTGCTTTTACACGCCTCTATAATTTCCTAGATTCCTCTCCTTAATGTTCTTAGTAACAAAACCACCCACTCTGACACTACATCAATACAGTGCTTAAACGCAGTCCTTGCTTGCACGGTGCTGGTTCTTCTAAGCCGTGTTACACCATGTTTTGCTTTGGGCTCTACTCAGTCATGCTCATCTTAATTTTCCATAATATCCTCACTTGATAGTGTAAGTGGTCAAATTTGAGGCTTGTAAAACGAGGAAAGAAGGACCCCCTGGAATGGGATGAGAACATTCACAGGTCTCATGAGCTACGTGTAATTGAGAGGGTTCCCAATGAAGCTCTCCTGGTTCACCAATATCACTTTCTGGGGGCAAGGCTTGTTGTGACAAGTTAAAAGTCTATGGTTGCGTATGTGAGTGTGGAGGTGAGGGAAACAGACACTGGTTCCAGCTAAAATAGTGTCTTGAATTCTTCTGAGTGAAAAACTTAAAGAACCCTAGAAATAAGGCTGAGGATTTGGGACTGCTAGAGGGGGTGGTGGGTGGGGAACAAAGGGGAGAGGGAGCCCAGTGGTCTATCTGAGAGACTACGGGTGCTCTGCTGATGGGTGTGATGACACACAGCTGAGGAGGTGTGAACCTGCTCCCCTGAATCACAGTGTTGTAAACCAACGTTACGTCAGTAAAAAATAAATACGAATTTTTAAAAACTCAAGTCAATTCCTATAAAGTATTTAGCTGAAGCTATTGGCAGTTTTAGTAAAATATTACAGATCAAGAAAGGAGCTCTCAGCACTGCAGGGGTAGGTGTGCAGACAGACAGGAGGGATCCGGAGGGGGACATCCTGTTTGTGAGGGATCCCTCCGAGCATGCGGAGAAGGCTGGGCACACGGGGAACTGAAGACGGTAGGGCACCCCGGCAGAGAGATTCCAGCACGCAGAAGACAGAGCAGGCCGGGGGAGAGCATGCTCTGTTGGAGGATGCAACTCAAGAGGAAAAATAGCCAAAAAGCAGACCCCAGGGCCCACAGATATTGAAGAGATCTGTGGAAAGAGAAAACCAGCAATGGAGACTAATAGTAAATGACCCAAAAGGTGGAGCAAGAACCAGCAGAAAGCATATAGCACGATCCAAGTCGTCAGGAGATGGACTGGACAAAAACTGGGTGACGGGTGTCTCAGCAGCTAAGGGGCTCCCAGCACCCACAGTGCACGGGGCATGGCGGGAAAGCCTGAGCAACGTCCCAGCATGCACAGCGCACAGGGCATGATGGGAAAGCCTAAGAAACGACCCAGCATGCACAGAGCACAGGGCATGATGGGAAAGCCTAAGAAACGACCCAGCATGCACAGAGCACAGGGCATGATGGGAAAGCCTGAGAAATGTCCCAGCATGCACCGCGCACGGGGCATGGTGGGAAGAAGATGGAGACTCTCCTTATGTGCAGAACGCAGGCAGGAGGGGGAATGCCTTTGAGAAGCACTGGGACGCAGAAAGACTTTGCAAATATTGCTTAAAGGTAAACAACATTGTGTTCCTCACAGGTGAGTCTCCCTCGAACAGATGTAAAGGAGCAAATGCAACCAGCAGAGGACAACTATGTAGCCCCTGGGCCTTTGCAAGATGTAGGAACCGCCATGCAGACCTGTGCTCAACCCAGGCGCGGGCGAGTAAGGGGTGAAGGGTTTCCACGTGGTGCACCCTGAAGGTCGTCCCCACCTGCCACTCAGTACTTAGATATTCCACCAACAGAGAGCCCTCCCAAGAGGCCTGCGAGGAGTGTGTCCGGTATGGAAGAACTGTCCTCACAACCTCCTGCAGCTGCCGCCTGACCCTCAGAATGGGGAGGAGTTTCACATGTGACTCCTTTGCTGTTCCAAAGCTTAGTGCTAGTTTTTTGTTACGCGTCTGAATTACATCGTGATGATTAATTTTATTCATGAACATTTTAAGTTAATTTCAAACTAAATTTTTATTTTATTATCTTTTTTCGTCCTATGTTAGTTCATGTTTGAACCACCAAATAATGCAGAATAAGCGTGCCCCTCCTGTGCTACAGCTGCGCGCCTGTGCTGTCATCATTGTGATGACCCTTTATAAATTAATCTCTGCTGGTAACACTATCCTTGGAGCTAGGAGTGCTTTTGTTTCTCCATTCAAGTAAGTATTCCCTTGTCTCTGAACTGCTATAAAGTTAATTAAAACCACTCTGTTATCCACAGAAGGACGTTCATTAGATACTTTTCTGCCGTTTTACTGAAAATACCAAGGGCAATCATTAAGTCAAAGACAGGAATGCCACCTTCAGGAAAACAAAGACAGCCCTAAGGTCTAATCCCCAGAAGATGTCGCTCTGGCTCAAAGCAGCCAGAAAAGGTGCTCACCTCTATGGCCCTCTGGGCATTTTTGCAAAACTTAACCTTTCTACTTCACTGTCAGAGTTAAACTGCTTTTTCCAATGGCACACCAGCAGGCCATGGAGGGTGCGGGAACAGTAGGACAGAATGATCCATCCCTTACCTTTCTGTGCTACTGGGAGAGGCGGGCGTTCAGGGCCTGTCCTGGGTTTCATTCCAAGGTTTAGTTCTAAAACAATCTCATGAAACACAATTAGCCACACTCTCTTAGAGCTACCTCTATACATGTGCTGCTACAGATTATGTTTTCTATTAGAAATTTTTAGAGGTTAGGTTTTAATACTCATATGTCTGTGATCCACTTTGAGTCAATTTTTGGATAAATTGGGAGGTGTAGATTACAGTGTATTTTTTCCCTGTATTTTTCCATTATTTCAAGACCACTTCTGGAAAACACTATCCTTTTTCCACTGAATTGTCAAAATCAGTTGTTCATGTTTGTGAAGATTGTATGTGGGCTCTGGACTTTCTCCCCTTTGTCTATTTACTATCTTGATGTCAATACCAAGCTGTCTTGGTTATTGTGACTTTATAGGTAGGCTTGAATTGGGTAGTACTAATCCTCCCAATTTTTTGTTTAAGGCTTGATTTTGGGGCCTCCCCTGCTGGCGCAGTGGGTTGAGCGCTGGGCTGTGAAGCTGTCCACAGCCTCTGCAGCACTGGTTCCATCCCAGCCAGCCAGCAAGGGTCCCACATGGCGCTGCAGATCTCTCCTGTTGCGCCTGCTGCTCCCCTCAGCAGTGTATTTCAGTCAGTCCGCCTGTTCTGTTCCCCACTCTATCTCTGGTGAATCCTCTCACCCTCCCGCGCCTCTGACTGTATCCCGGTTCCTGTATAAATAAATAAAATAAATCTTAAAAAAAAAAAAAGACTCGATTTTGGCTATTCTGAATACTCTAAATTTCCATATAAATTTTAGAATCAGTTTATCAGTCTCTATAAAAATAAACCAAAAAACCTATTACAGTTTTGATGGGATTGCATGAATCTGTAGATTCATCTGGACAAACTGATATCTTAACAACATTGGGTGTTCTGGCCCATGAACAAAGTATCTTTTTTCACCTACTTAGATCTTGAATTATTCTCTGTAATATTTTGTGATTTTTCAGTATACAGGTCTTACCTATGTCTGGCCAGATTTATCCCAAAGTGTTTTACTTATGGATGTTATTTAAATGTTTTTACTTCAATTTGCAGTTGTTCATTGCTAGAATATAGAATACCATTAATTTTTTATATTGATCTTGTATTGCACAACTACCAAATTTATTTATTATTTCTAGGAGCCTTTTTGTAGACTCCTCCAGATTTTCTATATGAACCATCATATCATCTGCAAATAAAAACTTTTAATTCTTCCTTTCCATCCATATAGATGTCTTGTATTTAACATCTTCTTTGATTGAACTAGCTGGAGTCTCCAGGAAAAGGTTGTATAGAGAATGATGAGAATATCCATCCTTGTTTTTGATCTAAGAAGGAAAGCATTCAGTTTTTCATAATGAAGTATGATACTAGCTGAGGCTTTTTATGAGTATTCTTTATCAGGGTGATGAAATTCTCTCCAAGTTTACTGGGACATTTTATCAGTAACCAGTGTTTGATTGTTGGCCAGTGTTTTTCCTGCATCTATTGAGAAGATCATGAGGATTTCATCATTTAGTTTGTCAGTAAACTGCATTGTTTTTTCAAATATTATACCAATATTCCATTCCTAGGGTAAATTCCACTTGATTATGATAAATAATTCATCTTATATATTGTCAAATTAGATTTGATTATTTTTAAAAATTATATCTATGTTCATAAGAGATATCTATCAATTGTTTTCTTATACTGGCTTTGTCTAGTTAGGTATCAGGACCTCATAGAATGAGTCTGAAAGCATTCTGTTCAACTTGCTGTAAAGCTTCATGCAGAATTTATATGATAGCATTATTTCTTCCTTAAATATTTGGTAGAACTTATCAAAGACATCATCTTAGCCTGATTTTTTTCTTGGTTTTATTTTGTTCTTTGTGGGAGTGATTTTAACTAAAAATTCAAACTTTTTTAGGTTTTATTTATTTTTTATTATTTTTTATTTTAACATTTATCATTTTTTACATTTTTTAGATAATATTTGTTTCCCCCACCCCCTCAGATTGAGTCCTCATAGAATTTCCTTCCCCAAGCATAATTCCTTCTAGCTCCATCCACGTTGCTGTGAATGGCATGAGTTTATCTTTTTTGATTGCTGAATAATATTCCATTGTGTATATGTGCCACATCTTCTTGATCCAGTCATCTATTTTTGGGGCATTTGGGTTGTTTCCACGTTTTACCTATTGTAAATAGTGCTACAATAAACATAGGGGTACAGATATTCTTTTGAATCACTGTTTTTGTGTCCTTTGGGTAGATACCTAAGAGTGGAATTGCCGGATCATATGGTAGCTCCATTTTTAGTAGACTGAGGAACCTCCACACAGCTTTCCACAGTGGTTGGACCAGTTTGCACTCCCACCAGCAATGTAGGAGAGTTCCTTTTTCACCGCATCCTCGCCAACATTTGTTGTTGCTTGTTTTTTTTTGATATGTGCCATTCTTTTTTTCCCCCCTAAACAAATCTACGGTCTTTTTTTTTTTTTTTTTTTAAGATTTATTTATTTATTTATACAAGCACTGGGTACAGTCAGAAGTGCAGGAGGGTGAGAGAATTCACCAGAGCCAGAGCAGGGAACAGAACAGGCAGACCGACAAAATACACTGCTGAGGGGAGCCTCAGGCACAACAGAAGAGGTCTGTCGCGCCTTGCGGGACCCTCGCCGGCGGCCAGGGATCGAACTGGTGCTGCAGAGGCTGCAGGCAGCTTCTCAGCCCAGCGCTCAACCTCTGCACCACCAAGGGAAGCCCATATGTGCCATTCTTTCTGGTGTAAGGTGGTATCTCAGTGTGGTTTTGACTTGCATTTCCCTGATTATCAGGGATTTGAACATTTTTTCATATGCCTGTTGGCCATTTGCATTTCCTCTTTGGAGAACTGTCTTTTGAGTTCTTCTGCCCATTTCTTGACGGATTGTTTATTTTGTTTTTGTTGAGTTGTGTTAGTTCTTCGTATATCTTTGTGATTAGAACCTTATCAATTGAATGGAGTGCAAAGATTTTTTTTTCCAATCAGTGGGGTGTGTCTCTCTGTTTTGGTTAATGTCTCTTTGGCTGTACAGCAGCTTTTCAGTTTGATGTAATCCCAGGTGTTTATCTTTGCCTTTACTATCACTGCTTTGGGTGATGAGTCTTTAAAGATGTTTCTGAGATGTATGTCTTGTAGTGTTTTACCTATATTTTCATCAATATATTTTATGGTTTCAGGTCTTATGTCCAGTTCTTTTATCCATTTTGAGCTGATTTTTGTGCACAGTGAGGTCTAATTTCATTTTTTTGCATGTAGTGGTCCAATTTTCCCAGCACCATTTATTGAACAAACTGTCCGTGTTCCATTGCATATTCTTTGCTCCTTTGTCAAAGATGAGTTGTTCATATAAGTGTGGCTTTATTTCTGGGCTCTCTATTCAGTTCTAAAAATTCAATTTTAATACAGATGGGGTACTCAAGCTCAGTTCTTCTTCACTGAAGTTTGGTAAAGTGTGTCTTTTAAGGGCATTGTCCATTTTATCTAAGTTATCAAATTTACTAGCAGAGACTAGTTTCACTAACAATACCTTTAATGTCTGTAAGCCCTGTAATTAAGTATCCTATCTTCTTTCTCCAACTGGTAATTTGGGTCTTCTCTTTTATTTTTCTCATCAGTTTGGCAAAGGTTTATTAGTATTATTGATTTTTCAAAGAAGCAGCATTGTTGTTATTGATTTTCCCTATTGCTTTTCTCTTTTCTACCCTTACCTACTTAATTTCTTTCTTCTGCTTACTTTTAGTTTAATTCACTCTTTATCATTCCTTAGGGTGGAATCTGAGGTCATGGATTTGAGAAATTTCTTCTTTGCTAATATTGGCATTTAATTATATACATTTCCCTTTGCTTTAGAGCAAGAACCAGCAAATGAAACTTGCAGGTTGGAATACAGCCATGCCCACTTATGCATTGCCCTTGCTACTTTCCTACCATGGTAGCAGAGTTGAGAATTGTCGCCGAAAATATATGCTGGCCCACAAGCCTATAATATTGACTACATGGCCTTTAAGAACAAGTGTTGTTTTCATTATAATTCAAAGTACTTTGTAATTTCTCTTTCAATTTCTTCTTTGACTGTTGAATTATTTAGAAGTGTGTTATTTAGTTTCCAGATATTTATTTGGGGGGTTTCCCAAATATCTTTGTTATTAATTTCTAATTTAATTCAAGTGTGGTAATTAAACAGAAAACATATTTTGTGGTATTTGAATACTTTTAAATTCATTAAGATTTGTTTTATGGCCCAGAATATAAACTGTTTTCATCAATGTTTTGTGTGTACTATGAAAGAATATACATACTGCTGTTGTTGAGTGGAATTTTCTATAAATATCAACTAAATGAAGTTAGTTGTTAATGGTGAAGTTTTATTATCTTTGCTGATTTTGTTTTATAATGACAAAAGGTATACTAAAGCTTCCAGCTATTACTGAGAACGTATCTGTTGCCCCTTGCAGTTCTATCAGTTTTAGTTTCATGTATTTTGAAGCTTTGTCATTAGTTGCACAAATATTTAGGGTTGCTAGATGCTTTTCATGAATTTGCCCCTTTATCATTTGAAATGTCTTTTTTTTTTTAAGATTTATTCATTTATACAAGAACTGGGGTATAGGGCAGAAGTGTAGGAGGTTGAGAGAACCCAACAGAGACAGAGAGGGGAGCAAAACAGGCAGACAGACTGAAACACACTGCTGAGGGGAGCAGTAGGTGAGACAGGAGAGGTTTGCCGCCCCACGTGGGTATCTCCCTGGCCTGCCAGGAATGGAACCCGCGCTGCAGAGGCTGCGGACAGCTTCACAGAACTGCACTCAACCCACTGCACCTCCGGAGAGGCCTTCAAATGTCTTTCTTGAATAGACAAAACCAAGCCAGACAAATCCTTGGATTCTGACTGCAGAATTGAGGTTACAATAGGTGGGAGGAAAAGGATAAACCAAAGGGAAAGGGTAGAGGGGATCCAATGGACTGTAGGAGAGGCCTGTTGGTACTTTGGTGGTGGCTGTGGTGTGGTAACATACATTGAAGAGGAGTATTCCTACACATAGATTGTTGTAAACCAATGTTACCTCAATAAAAGAAAATAAATAATTTTTAATGAAATAGCTTTCTTTAATCTTGGTAATGTCCTTTGCTTTGGTAGTCTGCTTTGCCTGATATTAATATAGCGAACCCAGCTTTCTTCTGATGAATCTTTTCCCATTTCCTTAGTTTTAATCTATTTGTGATGTTATATTTCAAGTGTGTATCTGCAGAGGGCCTTTTTTATTCAAAAATTGTGCTTTTTTATTCAATCTGACAATCCTGGTTTTTAATTGGGATGTTTAGTCTATTTATATTTTATGTGATTATCCAAAAAGTTAGGTTTAAGCCTTGCAACTTGTTTTATATTTGTCCCATCTGTTCTTTTTTTCCCTTTCCCTCTTTTTCTGCATTCCATTGTATTAAATGAATATTATTTATGGTTCATGTTGGCTTATTAGCTGTTACTCTTTGTTTTTCCTTAATGGTTGCCTTAAGGTGTATATTATACATTTTTAACTTGTCACAGACTACCTGATGTATTCTACCAATATGGTATAATTAGTAATATTATACCAGTTTGCATGTAGTATAAGAACTGCCTGTTAGTGGATTTTTATTTTTCCTTTTCCAACTTTTATTATTGTCATACATCCTGCTTATATGTATGTTACAAATATCTTTTTTTTTTAAGATTTATTTATTTATTTATACAAGCACTGGGTACAGTCAAAAGCACGGGAGGGTGAGAGAATTCACCGGAGCCAGAGCAGGGAACAGAACAGGCAGACTGACGAAATGCACTGCTGAGGGGAGCAGCAGGCATGGCAGGAGAGGTCTGCATGCCATGTGGGACCCTCACCAGCAGCCAGGGATCGAACCGGCGCTGCAGAGGCTGCAGGCAGCTTCTTAGCCCAGCGCTCAACCGCTGCGCCACCAGAGGAGGCCCTATGTTACAAATATCTTAATGCATTATTATTTTACTTAAGCAATTATATCTTCAAGTGATTTAAATAATAAGAAAATATTTATATGAATTTACCCATATAGCTAACATCTCCAGTGCTCTTCATCCCATGGCAGAGATCCAAGTTTCCACTGGTGACATTTTCCTTCTGCCTGAAGAATTTTTTAATGTCTTATCATATGGGTCTGCTATTTATGAATTCTTTTAGTGTTTGGATAACAGAAGTCTCTTGTTTTGTGCATACAAAAAATACATTTTCACTGGGAATAATGTTCTGATTTGACAGGTTTTTTTCTTCTCAGTACTTTAAAGATGTTGCTCCATTCTGTCTTTTCACTTGAATTGTTTCTGAAGAGAAATATATTGTCATATTCAACTTTGTTCCTTTGTTGTAACATGCCTTGTTTCCTTGGCAGTTTTAAAGAGTTTTCTCATTCTCATTGCTTTCAAACACTTGGATGATGTGTGACTTAGTGTGGTTTTCTTATGTTTCTTGTGCTCTGGTTTCGTTCAGCTTCTTAAATCTGTGGGTTTATATCACTCATAAAATTAGAAATTTCGGCTATTTTCTTCAAATATCTTTTTTTTTGGTTTCCCTCTCTCCTTTGAAGACTAGAACTATTGATTTCCCCATAGATCAATAATGCTTTTCATTCTTTCTTTTTATCTTTTCACTATTTCATTTTGAATTATGTCTTCAAATTCACTAATCTTTTCTTCTGCAATGCTTAGTCTGCCATTAATACCAAAAAGTGTATTTTGGGAGTATTTTTGGTTTTTGGTTTTCAGTTTTGGGTTATCTTCTTTTTGGACGCTCGAGATAAATCCAGTCCCTGTTACTCCATCTTGGGCAGAGCAAAAGCTACAAGCTATGCTACCCTTTTTTACTTATATGTACCCATAGACAAACATTCTGGGAAACTATAGCACCAAAATATTAAGAGAATTATCCCTAATGGTGGAAATTATATGATTTGGGAGGGGAGGTTATTTCCCATAATATATTGTAGGAAAAAAAACAATGAAACAATATTTTCCTCTAAAAATAGTTCTGTACTGTGTGTATGAGGTCCATCCCCAGGGACAGGTAGCTCTAGAACACATCACAAGGCTCTATTGTTTTCTGATGTGCTCCAGGGGGTTATGATCATGGGGCCTCTGCTCAGCTCACACAGCAAAGCTAGTAACATGTTTTCCCAGGGGAAACAGGGAGGACTAAAGTTCAGTCAAAGTATCTAAATTCTACCCCAAATCTGCAGAACTTGGTAAATCCACAAAATGGTCATCAACATCTTAGAGTCATCAACTCTCCAAGAGTCAAATATTTTTATGGAAGACTGCATATACTCAAACACACTGGCATACGTCACAGACACACATATAAACGTATAATCTACAATAAGCATCACTGATTTGGAAGCATTTTTACTGATACTTCAAAGAAGAGATATTGAGAAAATTCCAATGACTAAAAAATGATAAAGATTAACTATATAATTCTAACTCTCCAGATATATAAAATACCACTTGTACTCTCTTTAATGCTTTATCTTTAGTGTGCAAAGAAATTATATGTTAATATTTATGTAAGGGTTTTCAAAAGTTTTCTAAATACCTTCATTTCTGAACACATCTTTTAAAAATTCTTAATTTCATCAGTGAATTTGACCATCACAGTTGGTGGGGAAGTGAGAGGGGACAGATCATTTTATTCCTAGTATTAGTTGGAAGAAACATCAGATCCTACTAATACACTATTATTCAATCATTTTTTTAAAAGTGTATCAGCATAATAATGAAAGTAAATCAAACCAGGTAACTCTGTATTGCAAGATTAGTCTCTTAACCCCACTCTCAAGATAACCTATAGCACTTAATACAAAGAATTGACACTGAAAACCTTGATTCATAGTAATGGTGGTAGAACAAGGTGGGTAAGTAAACTGAGGTCTGTAGCCAGGGCACCCACCCAGTTACACTGGTACATACCATCTTCCTCAACTCCTGGTTGGAAACAATTATAACATTGGGTGGGTCCCCAATGGCGGTGGCAGCACCTCCAATGTTTGTGAAGATGACTTCTGCGATCAGGACTTGTCTTGGATCTAGGTTAAGCACTTCACATAATCTGCCACAAAAGAAGGAAAATGAAAGCATTTCCTCTGTTCACACTGTGCAAGCCCAAGGGTAACCCAAATATTTCTAGAGCCCCTGCTTTTAAGAAGGAAGGCATACACACACACACACACACACACACACACACACACACCCTGTGAGAAAAGCAATGCTAGGAAATGAACAACAGCAACACTACAGAACTACAGACTCCAGGGGAGTCTCGGAATGACATTTCTCTGAGAATAAATTACATTTCCCTGAACCCACAGTGTGAAAATGTACCCCCACTTGGCCCCTGGCATCTCTGAAGGGAACACAGTCCCCTGTGTGCAGGCGCCCAGTAGAGGATACAGCCTGGCACAGGTGAGTGTGCACCAGTTGCCAGACCCCGTCAAGTCAGGGTTGGGGCCAGCGCAGAAGGCACCCAGCGCCTAGAGACTCCCACAGAACCTGCCAGCTTGGCCCCTTGCCCAATTCTGTTTCTCTGATACCGAGGTCCTAAGCTCTCCCTTGTTCCCTTCCTTTTCACTGCTGTCTACAGACTTCTCTCAAGAAGGAGCAGATGCTGTGCTTCGCCACCCTAAGTGCATCTAGACTGGTCTGGGAACCTTGAAAGTCCCACTGCCCAGCCTGCAACAGACCAACCCCTGGGGCAGGCCTGGGCAGCAGCATTCTACGGCTCTCCAAGCGGGCCCTGTGAGCTGACAAGTGAGAAATACTGACATAAAGGAAGTCTCGAAACACATGATGGTGTCCTACTGCCCCTGGTCACCTGTCCCACAGGCCCGGTGGGAGTTCTCACACCAACATACCACCAGTGTATGACAGCTAAGTGGGTCCCAGGGTGGAGGTGATGCTGCTGGAGAGAGCTTTGCTCCCCTCCCCAACAGCTGGCCTGTGTCTGCTGACTCCTGCAAGCATTTCTGCAGTCCCTGCTGCCACTGCCACACTCACAGCCACAGTCACAGCCACAACCACAGTCCTGGCCAGAGCGGTGGCTGGACAGGCACACAAGGGGGTGGGAGTTGCAGACAAGGTCCAGCAGCCAGAAGACCAGCCACAGCCTGGCCCCACACCCACATGGGGCCGCTCAGTGTACCTGATAGTAACAGGAGTGAAGAGGAGCGAGGTGGTGACGTTGTCCAGGAAGGCAGAGAGGACGGCGGCGATGAGACACAGCATAGTGATCATGGTCCACACTCTCCCGCGGGACAGGCGGTAGGCCTGGGGAGCACACCAGGGAGAACAAGCCTGGGTCAGTGGGGTGCACTCAGGGAGACAAGCAACTCTCCATGAGGGGCTCTGGGAATGAGGGATCCAAATAAATAGCAGGGGGATTAAAAGTTAGATCCAGGATTCCGAAGTCAGGTGAGGGCGGTGGTGCCTGGACATTCTAAATCCACTTGGCTTCCTCTGATTCTCCTTCTGGGAGCCCCATGGTGTTCATTTGTCACAGGTGATGCCTCCGACTATTTGGCATCACCCAGTATTTGCCACTTCCTCTTGGCCAGACAGCAAGAGCTGCCGCATTGGACCCACGGCCCCTATGCCTGCTGATCTTTGGGGATCTGAGGGATACATTCAGTACCAACATATCAGGAGGGAGAGACCAGACTGCTCCCGGAACTGTGCAAGGCGGCACGCAGAGAGAGCAAGAATCACAGTGTGGGTCTATCATTCCAAGTTTGCAAAGGGATTTGTTGAGTAAATGATTTTTTAAAGAGCTTTTCAGAGTTAAAGAAAAAGAAAATATAGCACAACGTTTAATGTCACACCCACAGGGCTTGTTGGGATCGCCATGCACCAACTCAAGTGACGGGACCAGTACAAACTGCTGGTCAGAACTTGCAGGTGGATTCCCCAGGGTTCCACTGACAAAAATGGATGTTTATATGCTCACTGCTCAGGAAGTACTCATTGAAACTATTTGACCAAAAAGCAAATTACTCAGAAACTGATGACCTGAAATATTAGATACTCTAAAATGCAAATCACTTTTTATTTATTTTATTAATTTATGCATACAAGAACTGGGGTGTAGGCCAGAGTTGCAAGGGGTGAGAGGATTCACCAGGGACAGAGTGGGGAGCAGAACAGGCAGATCTACTGAGATACACTGCAGAGGGGAGCAGCAGGTGAGACAGGAGAGGGCTGCTATGCCATGTGGGTCACCTCCCTGGCCAGTTGGGGATCTAACTCGTGCCGCAGTGGCTGCCCATAGCTACATAGTTCTGAGACTTAACCCACTGTGCCACCAGGGAGTCCCCAAATGCAAAACTTTCTGATGTGAGGTTCTCAAACTGCCAGCTGAAATAATGTCACCCAAACCTTCAACCTGATGCTCACCATCTCTGTCTTCAGCTGTTTAGTGAGAAGCTGACAGGATTGTTCAGAGTCCCCTCACTTAGCATGGCAACTTGCCCAGTCTTGCAGAAGTGATTTTGTAAAAGAGGATGGAATTTTTAAATATCTGCTTTAAATGGTAGGTTGTCCACTACCACTTATTTTATCCACTAAGTATGCAATAGTAGAAAAATAAATATAGCAATTCAGTAGATATTAACTACTGAAAGTATATGAAGCCTACCTTTACAGCACAATAATCGAAAAATCCTGTTTCTGAAAATACAGCCACTAAGATCATCTGCGGGGGAAAGAGAGAAAAAAGAATCTTAGCAGATCACCATCCTGAAATAATGTCAGAGGGGTCAACGCCAACTGAGCTCAGCCTCTGTGTGGAAGCTGCCACCACCTAGGGCCGACCCCTGGCCCAGGACATCCTCACTCAGCCTCCAAGTGTGGCCTCTCTCCAGGGTCCGTGTGTCTGTCTTTGTCCTGGGACTTGTGCCCAAGACACATTATTATTCCATCCAAGATTTACCAGAAACATCAAGTGTTATTATTACTCTCCTTTTTATCAGCCAAGAAACTGGGGGACTTGTCCCCAGTCACAAACTAGAAAAAGTGAAGGAAATGGCCCAGAATGTGGCCTTTCCACCCCCCTGAAATTTCCACACCAGCAATGACTAACCTTTTGAAGATCTTTTTTTTTTAAGATTTTATTTATTTTTATACAAGAGCCGGGGTACAGGCCAGATGCATGGGAGGGTGAGAGGATTCACCAGAGACAGAGCGGGGAACAGAACAGGCAGACTGACGAAGTACACTGCTGAGGGGAGCAGCAGGCGCGACAGGAGAGGTCTGCTGTGCCATGTGGGATTCTCGCCCGCCAGCTAGGATCGAACCCGCGCTGCAGAGGCTTCAGACAGTTTCACAGCACGGCGCTCAATCCGCTGCACCACCAGAGAGACCCTGAAGATTTTTAAACTGGGTAAAATTTTGTTCCCTAAAATAATTAGTTTTGTTTGGTTTTTGCCAATTTGATCAAGACGTGAAAATAAGGGCAGTTACACTGAAATGATTCTGCTCTGTGTTCTACATGGATCCAGAATGCCTACTCATTGGGCTTTCTTTCCAGTAATGACACTGAATAGGTGAGAATAACATTCCTATGTAGTGACAAGAATGCCCTGTTGATTCCAAATCAAATCAGTCAGACATTTCAACCAGCCTGCACTTTCTGGAAGATCCTCCATCCCACTACCTAAGAAGGCAATGTGTGGTGCACTGAACGTGGAGTTAGAAGATTCAGGTTCAAATATTGGTTCTGCCACTTAGGAGTAGTTTGACCTTGAGCGGAAAAAAAAAAAAAAAAAGCTTTCTTTTTATTATAATTTTAAAACTGTAGTTCATTTCTCTCACCTCATCTCTGAATATTTTGTTTCTTGTTAGGTGGTTGTGAAAATTCGATAAAATTAATTAAACTAAAGTCCTTGGGAAATAGTAGGCCCAATATTGTCTTTCAATAAAGTAAGAATAGCTAAAGCTGGTGACAGTGGGGCTGTCTGTAGATTGTGGGGAACATGACTGGGTGGTCCTGGGTGGCCTGCCCTTGTCAGGGAAGCTGTTCCACATTTGCTGCCAGAAACCACCAAAGAGAAATGGAACTCAGGGTAAGTGACCCCATGAGCAGTTGGCTGTCAAGAAATGGGGCAGAAAAGGCAGGAGCCTGGTACATAGCCTCTCTCTGTACCCTGAAAGTTCTAGAACCATAAAACCTTTACTGATTTCTAATGAGAAAAAAAAAATTAAGCCATCTGTGATGGGCTGAGTTATGCCCACAAAATTATTTTGTTGAAGTCCTAACTTCCTCCCAGTATCTCTCTCAGAATATGACTGTATTAAGGAGATAATTAGGATGACCCCTAATCATATGACTGGGGTCCTTATATGAAGAGGAAAGGACAGAGACAGCATAGAGAGGAGACCATGTGAGGACAGAGGGAGAAGATGGTCATCTCAAGTCAATGGAAGGGAACTCAGAAGAGTTCCCAACCCTCCCTGCATCTTGATCTCGGATTTCTAGCTTCTAGAACTGTCAGGAAATTCATGTTGTTTAAGCCACCAAGTCTGCAGTACTTTGTTTTGGCAGTCCTAGCAAACTAACACATCAATCATGTAAGTTATCAAAAAACTAAACCTGAGGTGACATCTCTCTACCTTCTTTCTTCCTTCCATATGCCCAAACTCTCTATGCTTTCAAGGACCCAACACAAATATCGGTTCCTTTGTGAAGGCTGAGCTCAGAGCTTGGACCTCCTCACAGTAAGCAGCAAGGCCCCCCATTATGACTCCCAGCCTTCAGAGGCATAACATACTAGCCAGCCATGTGAGGGTCTAAGTGGCCTGCTGGACACAGAGGACTACTTCTACCTGAAGAGGGAATACCCTCCTTCAGACCTTTCAGCTGTTTCGGGTCTGTTCAAGAACACACTTGCCATGCCCACTGCTGCCCAGGCCCCTGTCAAACCCCACTTATTACGGTTAAGTCAGTAGATGACTCCTATTCCACTGGCTCATCTTAAAGTTCCTCTCCTACAAGTCAACTTGTTGACCTCTTCGCAGATGCAGCACACAGTGGCTACTGGACAATGTCTGGTAAATCAGCAAACACACAGACCATGATTTAGAGGTAATTTCTTCCTTTATGCATATAATCAGAGGCACTTTTCACTGAAACATGGTTTCCTTATTTAGGATATTCCATTTTCTTTTTTTTTTTTTCAACTTTAAAAGTGGTATCTTTTTTTATTTTATATTCCCCATACAATTGCACCCCCCTTATTTTGGCCCCAATCTCTCCTTTCCCTGCCGCCCCCCACCATAGAGGGTCTCTGGTTTATAGTTGTTTGTTCATTTTGATTTTTTCTTTCTTATAGTTATTCTTTTTCCTGGTCCCTTATTTAGGTTTTCTAGATTCCTGCTATGAGTGAGACCATTTTCTGTTTTAAGGAAAGGGTAATAAGCCCCCAACATGACTACATTTTCTAACTGGCAGTATTATTTCACTGTCACACAGGCCCTAGAATGAAATTCTATAGCTAACCAGAGCACCAATCATTAAATTCCGCCTCGGGAGAAATTAGCTAGACCTGTACTCACACTTTTCAATCAAGCCCTAATTGTCAAGCGGTGCAGTCTCTTTAACATAATGAAGGATTCTCAGTAGCAGCAGCAAGAGAGAAGGTTCTGGGTTAGGGCAGGCCTGGTGCCCTGTCCCAGGGGAGGACTATAATTACCATGCCAAACAGCAGGGCCAGGGTCTCGAAATCAATCCACTCCACCACATGGATCAGGCTTGGTCTCTGCAATCAAAGTACAAATTTGCCAATTAATCCTGGCCATCATTGCCTGGTGCTAAGCAGTGAAAATGTGCTGCCCTTTACATCAAAC